GTTAGTAAGATGAAAATGACCACTATGCGGACAAAACATTTAGGGTAACTTGTTTTGTGAGCGCCTTAAGGAAGACAAACATTACCTAAATCTTTAAAACATATTCAGAATCCTGTGCTAAAAGAAAGCTAGGGGGAAAATGTTGTCCGAGTCCCAGTGATTCCTTTGGACGAATATGTAATATTGTTTTAGAAATTTAAGGTAATAAATATAATATTTTTCGAATGCTAAAACAGTTCGAGAAATTTATTCAAGTTCTGAATTCTGAATATAAGTATACTGTATATTATATTTAATAACTATGGTGGCTTCATTTATGAAAATATTTGAATATTGGCTGTTTTTGTACAATGAACCTTCTCTAAGCTAGCTATACGTGATTCCTGAAAATTTTGATCTTTAAATGATAGTGGGCATCCTAGAGAAGTTATGTTTACTAATTAGTTATTTTATGAGGAATGCTGGTTAAATTTAAAAAGTGATTGACTGAGGTAGCTTGTCGTAATGAGACGGTTCACTGTAATCCAATTTTTTAAAGAATTTAAGCTGTTCTTAATTAATTAAGATATTATAAAGAAATATGATTAAAAGTGTTATATAAGCACATGTTTAAAACATCTATTAAAATAATTTTTATAAGCTTTTTAAGAGCATGATTATGATTTTAAAAGAAATGTTTTTTTCTTTATTTAGGAGACATGGTTTACAAAGAGGGGAGAAAAACCATTCATTTTTTCCAAGCAGTCGAAACGAATTTTTATGAAATGTTTATTAAATTATATTATGTTATTTTTAAATTAATTCTTTTTTTCAGGTTTTATGTAAAGTTTATGAATTAAGTAATAAATTATTTTTACTTCTGTATTTTAATTAGCATATTATTTGCTTCATAGTGTTTCACAATAAAATTATAAATTCAATAAACTTCTTAATTAACATGCTGTAATATAGAGAGAGAGCATAAAGTTTGTTTTCTGTTGTCACATGTTTATTTCACAATTTTGTATGCGAATCTCGAAATTTATAATAACTAGGAATATTTTTTTAGTATCACTTTCGAAATGGTAAATATTAAGCTTAGATTTATTACATATTATGTTTGTAAAAAATTATAGGTAAAATTAAAATGCATTAAATTTTAAGCTAAACTGAAGTATTAATTTTAGAAATAAATTTCTTAAAGGCATAATTGTATTAAGAATTTTAAGGGAAACAAGGCTTTAAAAATTAAGGTCAGTTGGCAAAGTTTTATGCTTATTCAAAAAGCATGACATTAGGTTTTTAATGAAAGACTTCTATCTGTTAATTCAAAGGAAATTATTTGAAGGTAAGTAAAAAAGTTATGCATTATTTCAAACAATAGCAGACTGTTGACAAACACTGAGTGCAGATAAGAATAAAAAAATTAGTTAGACGTTGTAATTGTAATTCAAGCGTATGAACAAAATTTGAATTCCTTGTAGTAACAAAATGAAGTTCATTGCTATGTTGAATTCTTTAATTTACTGAAAATGTCATTTTTTAGAAGGAGAGAAATATATTTTTGAAATATGAAGAACAGCTGTTCTGAGTTCTTCATAGAAATATTTCACAAAATGTCTTTTACTGTAATAATGTGATCATATCAACATGCAACACGTTTACTCATATAAGTTAAATCTAAAGCAACATGTGTCTATTTTAGCTAAAATTACTAAAAAGAAAGTTCTAGAACATATCTTATTAACTGACACTAAAACATGCAAATAAAACATACTTTTTTTTCAGCTATTTTACAGGGCAAATATAAGGAGTAGCATATCAATTTGAACTTTTAAATTAATCAAAATGATAATATGAAAGGCCTTTCAATAATATCAGACATAAGTTTCTCTTCATAAAACAAAAATACTCTGCAACAGACTAATGTTACTTTTTGAAAAAAGAACATTGCTGTTGAAAGCACATCTTTTAAATTAATGCTATTCTGAGGTCAAATTGACTAATTTAAAAAGCCAAACTATTATGCTTCACTTGCATATATCTGTATAATGATATACACATGCAGATATTGTTTTACTCAAAACATCTTGATTTCAATATATATTTATTATAATAAGCATCATTTTAGACAAAAAAAATCTATTACTTTTATAAACATATCCTTTAGTATTATCTATGAAAAATATATTCTACACACATAATTACTTAATGGGATATTAGAAGGAAATAATCTGAAACCTTTACAGATACAACCATTGGAATTTTACGTAAGAAAAGTATCTTCTACTCACATAATAACTTGCTATAATAATACAAGCAAATAACCTGTAACGGTTACAGATATATCGTTTGGGATTTTACATGAGAAAAACATGTTCTTTTTACATAATTATTTGCTGTAATATTACACGCAAATAATCTGTAACCATTACAGATATATCGTTTGGGAATTTACATGAGAAAAATATGTTCTACTTACATAACTATATGCTGTGATATTACAAGAAAAAGATCTGTAACCATTACAGGCAAAACTCTTGTAATGTTACAAAGAAAACACCTGTTTCTGTTACTCAAATAACCCATGGCATCCCAGTTTCCATGAGTTTTCTTAGTAACCTTACAGATTTTTTTTTTACAGTGCGCCATTAAGTTGGCAATGTTAAGTTGTTGTTGTTCTACGGCTAAAAAAAAAAAAAATTTGAATCTGTCCCGAAGCGCATGAAAAATGCATTAGCTATGATTTAAACAATACGAACCCTTATTTTCACGTTTTTATGAAATACAAACTGTTTATTCAAAGTGTCCGAATACTTACATGAGTTTATTATCAAAACTTATAAGGTATTTCTCCCATCTTCTTGGCGTGCATTCGTGGTGTAGTGGTCTTCACACTGGACGCGTATTCCAGATGTCTGTGGTTCGATTCTCGGCGAAGGTGTTGCATATTTTTCATCTTGCCTGCTTCCAAAAAATACCTAATGTCTCTACAAACTATTTTAACGTTTTCTTTTTCTTTTTTTTTCTCTTAACGTCAAAAGAGGCATTAGCTCAGAAGGGCTATTAGTCTCGAAACGAAATTTTTTGTCGAATCATTATAAACGACTGTATCAATTTTCAACTTGTTGCCACCAAATGTTATCGCCCTAGTTAAAGAAATTAAGTAATGGAGAATCTGCCTGAACGTATGTATGTTTCTCGCATTGTGAAAAAAAATGATACCTAGAACCATCAAATTTTGAATAACGTAGTCCTGCTCTCGAATATGGGCACCTAGAAGCCCGAATCTTGAACTTCGAATTTGTTTATTATCTATTTCATATTTTTTAAACGTTAATGAATTTTTGATCAAGAAACTCAACGATTTCAAATCGAGCAGTGGCATCATACTGTTCTGAATAAAATACTTCTATCTCCAGTGTGTGTTGCTTTTGAAATTCTAAAGATATGCTGTTTTTAAACATTTTTAACCCAAAGGGGCGTTAGCCCAAATGCCCTTGAAACGTGTATTTGTGTACGTGAGGGGGAAAAAAATTTAGGCGTAATAAAAAACCTGAAAGCTTTCAGATTTTTTTTTTTTTTTTTTTTTTTTTTGAGTTATTTTTTAAACCAGAAACGTTTGAAATATTTTTTTTCAAAGCAATCACATTTAAAAACAGTTGATCAATAGTATATGTGAAAGAAAATTAAAGTCATTTTGCTAATATTTAGTAAGCAAATGTGAGCTACTGTAATAAATAATTTTTGGAATAACATGTCATTCATTCTTTTCATTTTATAAGAAACCGCCAAAGTGAGCCACAGTGTTACGTAAATGTACGTAACGTAATACGTAAATAATATATAAATAAATGTATATATATGCAGGCAAACTTTGCTCGTATTTGTTAAAATGACCGCTCATTATAGCAACTTTTCCATTTCAACGACCGGTGCCCATCTCTAAGGGATGAACGTGTATTAAATTCTCTTTTGATATAGAGATCATGTTATAATGTCCCTTACTTTCTGGGATACGACTGACTGTGTACCCGTATGTACCACAAATATATATTATACTGGGTAAAAATATGAAAAATACCACTTCCTAAGTAAATATATATGCCTTAAACTTAGATTATACTTTAATAGGTAATTTTCTACTAAAAATGTTTACTGACAAAATCTTGAAGCTTATTTTATCTTAGCGAGTGCGCCAGTTTCTGGATAGCATGTGCGTATTATCCAATACTCATAATTCAGATTTAAGTATTTTGTTTCCAATATGTTGTAGGGTTTATATTTATTTTAACTAACATTTATTTTAAGTTTACTATCTTTCCTGTCAAGCCTTACTTTCCCCTGGAACTGCCAATGCCAGAATATGTAAATTTGAGTAGAACGCGCAAGCATTCAAATTATCAGCGGAAGTATTCTGATTTAAATAGAAGGAAACGAGTTCGGTGTGAGATTCTCTTACTTAGCGAGCGCGGAGGTAGTTAGCGAGAATTGAAGAACCCCGCGTTGCGGCCTATGTGCTTGGCGGGAAGTAGTGGTCATCGTTCCAGTGAGCTTCAAGTCTGCTGAATTAGCAGCGGTATTGTAAAACGCGGTGAGTTAGTTATTTAGAGAGCCTCGTAGTTAGAATCTTGTCTTTATTTTCTTTTCAGGTTATTATTTTTATTTGACTGCCAAGTTGGCACCGTCTGTAAGCGTCAAGAGAACGCAATTGTAATTTATTGCGTTGAATAAAAAGGGACTTAAACCCTTCACAAACTTCTATCTTTTATACAAGTTTTCACAGTCACCTCTTGGTTGCGTGCAAGTTGGAGGCGCGCAACGTTATAATGTGTCTGAGCAGTTTGATTGAAACGCTAGTATTTTTATAATTGGAATGATATTTGTTTCCATTTCAGTATTCAAAAGAATCGAACTACTTTAAATATTTATGTAAAATATAGGTATATTTACAACTCTAGATTGTATGCCTAAATTTTATTTCCGTTCTCATTTAAGGCTATTTTCTATTTCCTTTTTAGATATACCATACGTTGCTGTAGTGGCTTCTCTAATCGGTAAATTCGGGGCCTCTGCTTCTTTCATGGCCGTCTACCAACAAAGTTCTGAACTTTACCCCACCACCATCAGATCCATTGGAATGGGTATGAGTGGGACATTTGCCGGTTTGGCTAATATCGTCGTGCCTTACGTTGTGTTCCTTGTAAGTAATCTAATTTTCTCTTCATAAAATCCGCAGGAATCTGACAATCACTATGAATGGTTATTCACTAGCTTTCAACCATTTTACTCTAGGGAGCCTTAAGTCTGGTATAGCAGATGATTTAGAAATATAAACTATACGAATGTAAATTCTGTTTCAAAAGAAAAATACTGGTGAACTGAAGAGGGGACTTCATTTGCAGTGCTGAAACACTATCTGCCAAACACATAAGGTGTTCCGGAGTGCAGTGGAACGGTGGCAATTGTGCCTAGATACTTAAGGGGGGCCACACTGAATTGTACTAATGTAGTTTCTATAATGCTAAATTTTCATGTAAATAACTTATGTTCCAGAATACAGCCTGTTTAAGAAAAAATGTATAGAGACTTAATAAACACCCTGTATTTAAAATTGGTATTTTTTCCATATCACAGGCGCAAACCTCGCCAAGTAGACTTTATTTGGCGACAATACACAGTATACACATAAAAATATTAATAATGCTGCAAATCTTGCCAAGCAGGCTTTATAGAAACAACATACAGTATACACACAAAAAATGTTAACAATTATTAATTCTAAAAATATTTTACTGTGGAGGCAAAGCATTTTAATACCGTTTAATTTTTTTTCAAATGGCTCTTTCATTTCCCTTCTCCACAAAATTGTATCATTTTGAAATGTTAGAAACTTTCCTTTTCCAGTTTTTCAGTGCAGTATGATTTCCGCGAATATGAATACATTATAGTTCCTTTTCAAATATTTTTCTTAATTACTTCTAATATAGAACTCATGGATCGGTTTTTCACCTTCACAAGGAAACATACATTTGTTTCACGACAAACTCTACCAAAGATCCCCTATTGTGGAAGAATCCGTCCCGTATTATTTTTGCACTTCGTGAACGTACTTTCATCCACTTCAACGATCATACCAGGTCCTCCTATTTTCCGTTCTTGACGTTTAAGCAAAGAATCCACACAAACCTAGCGCATATAGTTACTCCAGTCCACAACTGTTCCGTGACCGATTTTCAACTGCTTTTCACACCATTTAACTGACGTTAATTCTTCGCTCTAACCATAAATAAACCTCACACAGTTCAAAAAACTCAATGACTCAAGTCATGTACCTTTCAGGATACTTCTTCTGCTGCGAAAGTTGAAAGGCTGTAGCGCCCATGGAGGTAAGACACCTTCCTACCGCCATGGCAGCGCCACTGAATTTAGTCTCAAATACCATTTCATTTCATGATTATTATCAGAGGTAGCAATTTTAGGCAAAACGCTTTTCCGTTGAAAGAATATTACAAATTCTTCCTCTATCCTTGGCAATTCCCCAATTTTCATTGATTTTCCATCCATTTTTGACGTATTAAGGAAAAGACATGACTCACAAAAAATTACCGCAATTGTTTCGAAATGTGGCGGTTGTATCATTTTTAGCGATTTCATCGCCTCCGTCGGTGAAATGGAAAAGTACTAGACGGTGGCACATGCTTTGCCAATTTTTTTCCCTTATCTGAGACGTGCTTGCACGCTTATAAACTAATTAACTGCCACCGCCTTGAGGCAATACTCCACAATACTGGTTAAAGTTTAATAATCTAAATACCAATTATACCTTCAAGTTTCCAGTTTTAGAGGAAACGAATTTATTCTTGCAAACTTATATTTAAAATTTTCAAAACTGCATTGATATTCGGCTAATAAGTTAAATTGTAAAATTATTTATCAATGAGAAATATTAGATACAAAAAAGAGGCTATAAATTAAGATTAGATTGTTGATAAAATTAAATACTTGAAGCTCATAAGCATCTAATACTTTGCAGGCTATTTATGGCAAGTATCTCCCCTACCTCATCATAGGGATGGTGTGCATCCTGGCAGGAATCAGCGCTACTTTCTTGCCAGAAACCCTGAATGAAATCTTACCTCAAACCATCTACGATGCAGAAAAGTTTGGAAAGGATCAAAAGTTCTTCTCTTGCGGAGGGTAAGTGCGATTATGAGTTTCACGTTTTCATTATTTAAATCGGGTAGAGACTTTTATACATTTAATATAAAGCAGTAAGAATTTTCTTGAGTATACTTTAAAAAATGTGTGTCGTAGACATCACATGACCCTTCGGCCTGTTTAATTATATAATTTTTTTCTGTACTTCATTTAATCTTATTTCCTTGAATTATTCTAACTTGAATAACAAATTCGACAAATAGAAAATGACATAAAAAATTTTGAATTTTTTAAATTAACTATTTGGGTCAATTTTTGTCGAACGGAATGCGAATTTCTCATAATTTTATTTTTTCATAAATAACAGAAAACTTTCCCAAATATATATAAATATATAAACAGCAACCAAGTGAAGACGCAAGAGAAACACGCGGATGTGGAAAATAAAACAGACAAATCGACAACCTTGAATTCGGTGTAGATTTTGTGAAATTTCAATCGATTTTGAGAGCAAAACGGGTCCCCCTTCATCAGGAGCAAAAATTTCTGCAAAAGCGAGAACTGCGATACTGAAGTATACTGTATTGTACTGGGTTTCTATTTCCGGAGCAATATTTCCCAGGCAGGCAAAGAGTTCCACGCGGAGCCTGGTATTAGAAAATTCTTTATTGAGTGTCGCCTGAGGGGAGATAAAGCAATACGGCGCAATCTTCGCCTGGGCTCAGGAGCTGACGCGAGCTTTTTGCAACACTGGTCCAAACAAGAACAAGTCCAAAGAAAGTCCGTAAGATGCTCGTAGCCTGCTGGCGCGTCACTGTGATTGGTCGAAATCTAGTTGGAATGCTTTTCAGAATAGATGATGGGAGAAGATACACACGGAGTGTAAACACAGAGTACTTACGAGTGAAATTGATTATTGGCTTGCCTAATTAAGTGTGCAGCATAAGGTCGGATGTGCAAATCGTCCGGGATGATTTCATAGTTCAAAATATCCGCAAAGTTAGCTGTATTGTTGATCTCTGCTTTCCTGAAAAAGTTTCCATTTAGCTTGATTAAGTAGTCTTTGATATAATCAATACGAAGTTCGCGATGTAAATCTTCATTTCTAATATAGTCATGGTTCTCAGGATCTATTTTGCAGAACTTTCAGTCCGTGAATTTCATTTGGCTTAGCACTTGCCCGGGCGGGAAGGCATATGTGATAGCAGGCCTAAATAAAATTGCAGTTTAAAGCCTTCTTTTGCGTGCAAGGTTTAATCCAAAGTCCTTAGAAAGTAGTGGGTAAAGATTTTTCATAATGGCGTACGCTTTTACACATGCACTCTTTATGTGTGCATTCCAGGTTAAACGATCGGTAAGTCCTAGGTATTTTGCCGTATTTACAGTAGGGACTGTTTTCCCGAAGAGCGTAAGATTACAGGTGAGGGGGTCTGTGGTCTTGAATTTTCTGATAACTAAAACTTTTGACTTCTCCGGGTTGATCTGAATTTTCCATCGTTGACACCATGCTTCAATATCAGGAATAATCTACTGAATCTTTTCCAAGGCGTGGTTTGGTCGTCTAAGACTTCGCGATGATGGCGGTGTCATCCGCGTAGCATGCTAACATAATATTATGGTCTTGTATAAATTTTGGGAAGACATTTACGTACAAAATATAAAATATTGGTCCAGGGATACTTCCTTGTGGGACACCAGCGTAAATTTGATGTGGGTTTGAACTGGAATCTCCTTGCCGCACTGAAAAAGTCCGGGAGTTCATTCATGAGGATGAGAATAATTTCCCGAGGAAAATTCAAATTGATGAGCTTAAAAATAAGTCCTCTATGCTAGACGCGGTCAAATGCTTTTGCCACGTCTAGCATGAGGATAGCTGCACTATTTTTGTTATGTAAAGCCGCTCTGATATATTCAGTGATTCTGACTAACTGATGAGAAGTGGATAGTCCTATTCGAAAACTATGTTGTTCATCCGCCAGAATATCGAGGAAAGGTTTAATTCTATTGTAAATTATTCTTTCAAGAATCTTTCCCAGTGTCGACAGGAGGCAAATTGGTCGGTAACTGGCCGGTTCATCGGGAGGCTTGCCTGGTTTTTGTATCAGAAAAATGTTTGCATGCTTCCACGGGGTGTGAAAATATGAATGCGTCAAACAATCATTGTAGATGATAGTCAGCTTGGTAATTAGACAGTGGTGGAGGTTCTTCATTATTCTGTTCGTAATTTTATCACTTCCAGGCGCCATTTTGGAGTTGGTGTGCTTGATGATATCTCTTACTTCTAAAGGAGTAGTGAGCTTAATCCTGTTGTTCGGAGTGCTAATCTCAAGCCATTCTTGAACAAAATTGTCAATATCAGAGTCATTATTATTCGGAATTGCATTCGGGGTGAACTGCTCACTCAGATGCTTTGTGTCCGCTTTTTCCTGATTTGTGCATGCAAACCGTGTGTTGTTTTGATTGACTGAGAGTGGTGATAGACTCTTTTCAGGTTCCGGGCGAAGTTCCAGAATGAACCGTCATCCAGATTTAAATTGTTTATTTTATAGCTCCATACTTAGTTTCGGTGTTCACTGATGAGAGCTTTAATCTGCCTTGTGAGTCTATTTATGTCCGTCTTAATAGCCGGATTCCAATCCTTACTGTACTGTTTGCGAAATCTGTTCCGTTGAGTAATAACTACTCTGATAAGTGCCAGGAAGTGTGTCGTGCAGGTAATTGTTCTCTACTTCTGTTGTTGCATTTTGCAGGAATCCTGAAGTTTATCGGTAAAAATTTTTACTGCAGCGTCAATGTCTGGTTTAATCTTAAGAGAGCCTAAACTGAATGTCGATCTACTAGCGATATTGTGAAATAGGTTCCAGTCCACTATTTTCTTTGGAGTTGGATTTGTCTTGGGAGCACCACCTATTCTAGCTATAACAGGAACGTGATCTGATCAGTAATAATGATCTATCATTAGTATTACTGATGATTCAGTAAGCGCCTCAAGGGAAATAGAAATATTATCTGTTGAGAGAAAAAAGTCCAGAATACCCTGACTCTGGCCTGGAACGCTTGAGCAGTAAGCGGTTTCTTCAGGGATAAATAAATAAACTGGGTAATTATATATATACACTCATGTCCATAAATTAAGGATAATTCGGAGTCACACGGAAATCGAACCCTAAAATAAATATATCACCTGTAAAATCACTACACACATCTTCAAGAATCATATGCAAATTTCAGGAAGTAACTAGATAACACCGATGGTACGTCACAATGACGAGAGTGTAAGAGAGTGATATATAAGGAATACAGGCAAAGAAGTAAAATTGTTCGCAAGCGCTTTATAAGCATTTCAGTGTAATAACCGAATAATTATGACACAAAGGACGCATTTGGATGATTTTTTACGTGGTAGAATTATCGGCCGTCTGGAATGTGGGCGTACCCAACTGGAAGTATCAGACGAACTTGGAATTGCCCAGAGTGTCATCTCCAGGCTTTGGCACGATTCCAAGATGATGGTAATGTGAGTAGACGTTACAGCACAGGTCGTCCCAGAGTTACAACGCCGAATGAGGACCGGTATTTGACAGTTACTGCCAAAAGAAACAGGCGGAGCACAGCCTCAGAACTGTCTCGTCAGCTCTCTTCAGCCACTGGTACGACAATTTCAAGGCAGACCGTGTACAGACGCTTAGGGCAGATTGGTCTATATGCTCGTAGACCTGTCAGATGCGTTCCACTTACTGCAACTCACTGTCGCCTGCGGTTAGCCTGGAGTAGAGAGCATGCATTGTGGACACCGCAACAAACAGTGGGCTTGTGTGTGATGTTTTCCGACGAGTCCAGGTTTAGCTTGCAGTCTGATTCTCGCCGGACTTTCATATGGAGAGCTCCAGGTACCTGTTACCACCAAGAAAACATCATTGAACGACACCGTTACGGTGGTACAGGAGTGCTCGTGTGGGGTGGAATTATTCTGGGTTCCAGAACTGACCTGCATCTTCAAATTGGAACCATGACAAGCCACATCTATCGGGACGTCATTCTGGAACAACATGTGCGCGTACAATTTGTGTTTATGGATGACAACGTCCGTCCTCACCGTGCAAACATCGTAAGTGAATACCTTCAAACTGAGGATATCACCCGTATGGACTGGCCAGCATTCTCACCGGACTTGAATCCAGCAGAGCACGTGTGGGACATGCTTGACCGACGATTTGCAGCCCGTCAACCTCCTCCTACATGTCTACCGGAACTTCGGAGAGCATTGCTTTTTGAGTGGTGTAATATCCCCCAAGATCAGATCGATAATTTGATACTCAGCATGCCTAGGCGTTGTAAGAACTGTATTGCATCGTCTGGGAGACACACAATGTATTAACAATCGTACGAACCATGTAATATTGGTTTTTTGTAAAAAGTTTTTTTTTTTTTTTTTTTTTTTTTTTTTTTTTTTTTTTTTTTTGTAATTTGCTGCAGGGAGAAAAAAATCTCTGGAGCGGAAAAAAAAATCGCTGGAGGAAAATTTTTTTAATAATATCAAATATATAGCATCTTTTTTTGCTCTTTACCTTTTGTTTAATAAATAAGCTTTATAAATAAGTCAAATTTGTTTTGCTTCTAACTCTTCCTTTGCCTGATTTTGCATTATCCTTAATTTATGGACATGAGTGTAGTTATGAATTACCCTGCCATTTCTGTTTGTACTGTAACAGCCCCAGTCCACAGGTTTGGAGTTCCAGTACCCCCCGATTATACAGGGTTCTTGACTGAGAAGCAGTTCATCAAGGTTATTGTCCGTCAATTTAATGTCTGAAGGGTTATATATTGCACAAAAGTTAATTTTTCCAAGCTTGGGAAGCTTTACTTGAACCTTCACCATTTCAAACGCCTTAGAGTTGTCTGTTTTAATCAAACAGGCCTCATACGACCTTTTCACATACAGTGGTGGCTCGTGGCTAAAATTAGTGGGGGTGCTGTTCCAAAAAAATTTAACCTTTGTTTTAAAATTATGTAAAAGGAAACAAACATGTATAAAAAGA